AGGGTCGGCGCGCTGCCACACCCAGCGCTCTGACGTCGGCCGGCACGGAGGCTCCCCGCAGCTCCGGGTGCGCCCCGGGAAGAGCGGCGCCGCTGGCAGCGGGGCTGCCGCCCCCTCCGCGGGCGTCGCCGCGGGCGCGCCGCAGAGGCGCCACGCAGAGACGGCTTCCGCTCGCAGCCGCTGCACTTGGGCACGCTCACGACGAGAACGAGGACGGCGACGACGACGACGACGACGACGAAGACGACGACGACGACGACGAAGACGACGACGACGACGACGACGACGACGACGACGACGATAACGACGACGACGAGATCGGCGACGACGACGACGACGACGACGACGACGACGACAACGACGACGACGAGATCGGCGACGAAGACGACGACGACGACGACGACGACGACGACGCCGACGACGGGCTTCCGCTCGCAGCTGTTGCACTTGCGCACGCTAGCACGCGCACGTGAATGGGCAGCGCCCACCCGACACTTCGGAGGCCGGGCGCGGGGAAGAGGACACAGCGCTGCGAAAGGCAGGACCGGAGCTCTCGACCCCGAGCTTCTGCGGCGCTGCTCGAGCCGGCTCCATTTGTCAGGACCCTGCGGCCCAGGGCGAAAACGCCAGTCGTGGCCTCTTGACGACGCCCGGATCTGAAGCCTCTGGAAGTCCCCGGAAGATTCCAAAGATTCCCAGAGGTCCCTGGAGACTTGCGAAGGTCCACGGAGGTCTCCGATCTTTGAAGTGCTGCAGAGGCCTCCTGAGGCCTCCACAGCCTGAAGAAACTATAGCTCAAAGACTCCCTGTCAGGAGAAAGCCCGAGAATTTCCAAGCACGCCAAATATCCTGGCGAAGAACCCAGCCATATGCAGGTGCGAGTACCGCTAGGCAAATGAGACGAAGAAAGGGGAACCCCCTGCGAGGCCACGAACCGTGTAAGGGGCGTGCCGAAATAGACATGCGGTGGGCGGGGAGCCGCTGTTAACCCTGCCACTGGGGCCGTCGGTGGAACTCACTGTAGGGCCACGAAACGTGTGAGGGGTGTGACGAAATGGGCGGCGGGGACTCATGCGAACGGCACCACTGGGGCCTTCGGTGGAGCTCCACGTAAGGCTATGAGACGTGACAGAGGTGTGCCGAAAAGGGTGGCGGGAGCAGATGCGGGCGGTGGCACTCGGCCTTCGGTGGAACTCGCAATGGGGCCACGAAACGTGTCAGGGGTGTGCCGAAAGAAGTGACGCGGATGCATGCGGGGTGCGCCACTGAGGGCTTCGGTGGAGCTCCCTATGGGGTCACGAACGTCCTTCGGTGAAGCTCCCTATTGAGGCCACAAAACGTGTGAGGGGTGCGCTGACATGGGCGGCGGGGACGCATGCGGGCTGCCCACTGGGGCCTTGGGTGGAGCTCCCCATGGGAACACGAAGCGTGTGAGGGGTGTGCCGACGTGCTAGCGGGGACGCATGCGGGCTGACCACTGAGACCTTCGGTGGAGCTCCGAATGTGACCACGAAACGTGAGGAAGAAGAAGAAGAAGATGAAAAAGCATAAGAAAAAGAAGAAGAAGCACAAGCAGAAGAAGAAGAAGAAGAGAGCCTGGCGCGGGCCACAGCGCGTGAGCAATACGTGAAGCGTTCACGAAACGCGGATGCCTTCAGCAAGCCGCCCATGTCTTGACCGCCAGCTCCCACTTGCGAGCTGCACCGCCCTCTCGGCGGAAGTAGTCAGCAAGTCGCTCATGGGAACCGGCAACATTCCGTCAATTCTTAAGCACCATGGGCCCCAAGGGTGTCTTCTTTTTTTCTCAAGCAAGCGCTTGAGATCCAGATCGCCTGTCAAACACCGAATTTCGGACTGGATCCTCGTCCAGCATTCTGGACAAATGACCCATGTACAACATCTGACTACGCGCGATGATATCGCTCAGAGGCGTCTGTTGAGAAATCTGCAAAACTGTGCGGTTCGAAACCAAGGTGATGCACAAAGAGGGAACACTGCAAACGCGTCTGCGACAGTAACTCTGAAATCCGTCAAGCTGTTTCCGCTCGGTCCTGCTGAGGCAAGCAGTAAAAAAGACATGTGAGCTTGGAAACAATACAAGCCTTAAATATACAGGGCTTCTGTCTCCGACTCAAAGTAGAGTGCGACCAAATGCTTTCGAGCACCTTGAAATCACTTCTCGCCGCCCCTAGTCTCCGATTCAGTTCCGCGCCGATGCGCCCGTCTGCAGCAAGCGACGTCCCAAGGTAAATCAAATATTGCTTAGCTATGATGGAGGACCCGTTGCATCTCATTATGCCTGCGCCAGTCCGAACTTTCATCAGCTCCAATTTTCACAAATTGCATTGCAACCCAGAGTGACCCCCACATTCCTCAATGCAGTGCATCAGCTCTTGAACGAGGGCCGAAGTGGTTGGCGAGGACGCATGCGAAATGCGCCACTCGGACCTTCGGAGGAGCTCACTATGGGGCCACGCAACGTGTTAGGGGTGTGCCGACATGGGTGGCGGGACCGCATGCGAAATGCGCCACTGGGACCTTTGGTGGAGTCCCATTTGGGGCCGCCAAACGTGTGAGAGGTGTGACGAAATGGGTGGCCGGACCGCATGCGAAGTGCGCCACTTCGATCTTCGGTGGAGTTACATATGTGGCCACGAAACGTGTCAGGGGTGTGCAGAGATGGGTGGCGGGACCGCATGCGAATTGCGCCATCGGGACCTTCGGTGAAGCTCCCTATGGGGCCACGCAACGTGTGAAGGGTGTGCCGAAGTGTGTGGCGGGACCGCATGCGAACTGCGCCACTGGGACCTTCGGTAGAGTTCCCTATGAGGCCGCGAAACGTGAGACGGGTGTGCCGACATGGGTGGCGGGACATCATGCAAACTGCGCCACTGGGAACTTCGGTGGAACTCCATATGTGGCCACGAAACGGGGAAGGGGTTTGCCGACATGGGTGGCGGGACAACATGCAAACTGCGCCGCTGGGACCTTTGGTGGAGTCCCATATGGGGACGCCAAACGTGTGAGAGGTGTGACGAAATGAGTAGTCGGACCGCATGCGAACTGCGCCACTGGGACCTTCGGTGGAGCTCCCTATGGGGCTACGTAATGTGTAAGGGGTGTGCACACGCGGATGGCGATGATGGTGACTGTGTCAGCGAAGATGATGACGATGATGGTGATGACGGCAATGGTAATGGTGACGGTGATGGTGGTGGCGGTGGCGATGGTGTTGATGGTGTTGATCAAAATGATGGTCATCATCATCAGGATGATGATGACGATGCTGATGATGATGATCATGATGATGACGATGATGATGACGATATTGATGTTGATGTTGATGTTGATGATGCTGATGATGATGATGATGGTGGTGGTGATGGCGATGACGATGACGATGACGATGACAACGACGACGACGGCGACGATGACGACGACGACGATAACGCCGACGCCGGCGCCACCACCACCGCCGCCGACGACATCGATAATGATGATGATGATGATAATGATGATGATAGTGATGATGATGATGGTGATGAGCATGAAGATGAAGATGAAGGTGAAGATGAAGATGATGAATATGATGATGATGATGATGATGATGATGCTGAGGATGATGAAGATGATGAGGATGAGGAAGACGATGACGAGAACGATGACAATAATGGTGATGATGATGGTGAAGACGAAGATGATGATGCAGAGTACGAGTAATATGAAGATGAAGATAAGGATGAAGATAAAGACGAAGATGGAGATCAAGGTGACGATGGAGATGAACGTGAAGATGGATATGAAGATGAAGATGGATATGAATAAGATGACAAAGATGAAGATGGAAATGAACATGAGGATGGTGATGATGATGCTGATGACTCTGATGATGGTGGTGGTAGTAATGATGATGATGCTGACGATAGTGATGATGATGTTGATGTTGATGATGATGATGATGAAGACAGCGATACTGATGATGGTGACGATAAGAATGATGATGATGAACATCACCCATGTGATGTTGATGCTCATGCTAGCGCTGCTGCTGATAATGATGATGATGATAATAATAATAATGATGATAAGTATGATAATGATGATGATAATGATGGGAGTCGGGAGGAAGGGGAGGAGGGAGGAGTGAACTCTGGGCGCTGTCTCTTCAAAACGAGGACGCAACACCACAGGATGGTGGGGAAAGAACATTCAACGTTCAAGAACGTCCAAGAACGTCGAGAAAACCCATGAACGTCTACAATGTCCAAAACGTGCAACGTTCAACATCATCCAGAACATGTTTTGCGCGGCGCCAAGATGCTCGGATCAAGTCCTGCTGTGCTGCCTGACCTGGCGCCCTGCCCCTCGTATGGCTGCGGGGGAGGTGGCCCTGGAAGAAAGAGGCAGCATTATGGGAAGGAAATCATCAAAAGAAGAACGAGCTGCATCAAAACATAAAGTTGAGGTGGCCCACGCGGTCTTCTTGGATCAACGCTGGACCCCCTGCATCCACCTCCTCCTCCTCCCGAACCTCCCGTTCCACCTCCTCCTCCTCCTCCTCCTCCTTCTCCTCCTCCTCCCCCTCCTCCCCCTCCTCCTCCTCCTCCTCCTCCTCAGCCGCCGCCCTCCCGTTCCTCCTGCTCCTCCTCCTCATCCATCCTTCCGTTCCTCCTCCGGCTCCTCCCCCTACTTTTCATCATCCTCCTTCTCCTCCTTTTCCTCCTCCTCCTCGTCCTCCTCCTCCTCCTCCTCCTCATACTCCTCCTACTCGGAACGAGGAGGGAGGAAAGGGGAATAGATGTAAGAGGAGGGAGGGAGGGAGGGAGGGAGGGCGCTGCGCAGGTGAAGAGATGGAAGAATTGAGGGAAGGAGGCAAGAGGGGGGAGGCAGGGAGGGAAGGGGAGGGAGGGAGGGGGGAAGAAGGGAGGGAGGGAGGGATGACCCCTCCTCCCTCCTCGCCCCTTCCTGCCCCAACGGCGCACGAGCGCGGGGCGCCGTTCCTGGACCGCTCCTGGCAAGCCACCGTGGCGGCGGGGTCGCCACCTGTCGCGGCGGGCGCGACGAGGGACAGAGGGAGGGGGAGTGAGAGGAGGGGCAAGGGGAGGAGAGGGGAGGAGGGGGAGGAGGAGGAGGAGGAGGAGGAGGAGGAGGAGGAGGAGGAGGAGAAGGAGGAGGAGGAGGAGGAGGAGGAATGCGGGCACCCTGGGGGGCGCGGGTCTGTTCCGAGGCGCGCCACCGAAAACAATGACAGGCAGCGGCGAAAGAGTCCCTCCCTGATCATAATCCCACCCCATCCCGCTATTGATTTAGCGCTGCACCAGAGCGTGGGCAGTTGCCAGCGCTGCGGCTTTGGACACGGGCGAAGCCGCGCGCATCTTGTTGTAAATGTGGAAAGCCAGCGTGATCCTGCGCACTGTCTCGCGAAGCGAGAGGTCGCTGGGCGCTGGGGGATATGCAGCCGAGGGGCCCGAGTCCCATCGGGTTAAAGCGTTCAGAAGAGGGGGTGAGTCAGGGGACCAAGGGAGGCTCAAGAGGCGAGGATAGGCAAGGTAGTGGGGGAAAGAGTCAGGCATGTCCTGGCAACCAAAAAGGCAGCCCCGAAGCGCCAGTACGTGCATGCGGCACGAGGTTGCCCAGCCCGCCGCCAGTGTCTTGAACGTGGCCCAGCGCCAGCTGGGTTTCACTGAACTGAGTACGTCAGCGAGCGCCTTCCAACGCTCCTCCAAAATATCAGTGGCTAGGGGATGGCCCCACGAGGCGAAGCGCTTCTCGAGCGTGACCAGAAACGGGGATGCGGAGGCAGACTGGCGCAGCGATGCTGCGAACGCGCGCTGGAAATGAGCACGGCGTGGTGGGTCGGATGCACGGGCAGCGTGCATCTCTTCCTGCGCGGCTGCATGGGCAGCACGCAACATCGTCGGCGTGAAGACGGAGGTGCGCGATGCGGAGCGGAGCTGATCCTAGCATTGCACAATCGCCTGCGGCTGGGCCCAGAATGGGGGCGACCACGAGCCAGCGATCCAGCGATGGAAGCTATGCACCGCGCTTTCTAGCCATGCAGTGTCTCGGAGGCGCTCAAAGTGCGGCTCCCATGCGTGGAGGTGCGTGAGTCTGGCGGCACGAGCGGCAGCCGATACTGACATAACCTGCATCGAGCGCAGGACCAGTGGCGGAGACCAGCCTGCCATCGCTAGAAGGTCAACCTTGCGAAACGTGTTCGGTGGCAAGCTGAACACATTGTGAAAAATGTAGCGCCCCCTGTGTGGTACCAGTGGGTACAGGATAGAATTGGGCAACATAGCTAAGCGTCGAGAGCACCGATGTGTTATAGAGCCTCACGGTGGCATCACTGCCAGGCTGCACTGAATTGAGCAAGTTCGCCCGCTGCCACCATTTTTGCCCAGGAGCGTGCCATTCATCAGCCAGCGAGGCTGCAGGTCCAAGGGAAGTCCCAAGGCATTTGGCACGCCCTGAGACCGAGAAGCCAGACCAGGCGGGAGAAAACTCGGAAAGCAGGGCCTGGGTTTGGGCGATGGTGGCAGGCGCGGCGGCATCCCAGACAGGGACGACAACACACTTGCGAGGCTTCAGCGACAACAAAGCGAGGCGGGCGGCGGCGTCAAAGGGCTCATTCCCTCTACTCACGATGCCAAAGGAGCCGCACAGGATGCCAATGTCGTCGGCACAGGCCCCCAGGCAGTTGGAACGCGGGTCGCAGCCAGGATCCCCGCGGGCGATGATGAGGGCGATGTGGCGGATGACCGGGCCCATTGCGATCGCCCATACTGATCCGCTAGCAGGGTAGCCTTGCGCGACTCCCGACTCGATCGCAAACATCTCATGTCGGACGCCGTCCACCTTGACTGAGGACGCGGGCGCGTGGCACAGAGCACGGAAGAGGTTCATGAAGCCCGCAGGCATGCCGAAAAGGTGGAGCGCCTTGAAGAGCCAGGTTCTGCCCAGGGACGGGAACGCGGCGGCGAAGTCGAAGCTGATGAAGACTGGGTGCGCCTGCGCCGCGTTCTCGAGGAGGCCAACGCGGCGCATCTCGGCATCTAGGCGCCCCATGTACTGCGTGAAGTTCCTGCCAGCCACGAAACCCTGTTGAGCTGAATGTGTGCGTTCGGCGACATGCTGCTTGATCATGTTGTTCGCTGCTCCTGCGCAAGCCTTGATATCCGCCTTCTTCATGGAGAGCGGGCGGGTGTCCTCGGGGCGGCGATCCGCGGTCAGCTCACCCAGAAGGTTGTCACCCTTCGGCAGGAAGGCGAAGTCGGAGTCGTTCAGGTCGCGTGGGATAGAGTCGCCCGAGCAGAGGAAGCAAGCGAGGTCCTCGAGAATACCCAGCGAGTGGTCGCGGGCGGTCCAAGCGTTGTACGGGAGGCAATCGGGGCCAGGTGCAGAAGGCGAGGTACGCGTCAGGAAGGCCTTCAGCTGGTTCTCGGTGGGTGCGATCACGCCCATCGAGTCGCCCTGCGGCATGTGCGTCTCGATGCACTCGTGCACAGCAGCGACGTCGACCTGCTTGGCCGCGAAGACGGGCTGCCAGTGGGAGCGGAGGGCATCCACCATTGGGCCGTTCTCTCTCTGGTGACAGCTGCCGAGCCTGCAAGGCCTGTGACTTTGATCCCTTGGAGGACGAGCCGACGCTTCCAGGGGGGCCCACAGGAGAGCACGCTTCTGGGAGGCCCGTAGGGCCTTCCGAAGCTTCTCGGGGGGCAGGGCGTCGGGATGGCTCCGCGGGAGCCTCGCTGCCTGCTGCGCCAGAGAGCGCTGGCGAGCCTCGAAGTCGCGGTGCAGGGCGGCCGACATAGTCGCGAACCTGGCGCCATCGGCGAGCTTGATGGCGGGGGCGGTGACGTCGAGGAAGCGCTTGCCCAGGTCCGTGGCGGCGTGGAGGCGACGTGCGAGTTTGACGTCTCGGCGCCAGGTCGCCCACGAGATGGAGCGCACGGCGATGACCCTGCCGCCCAGATAGCCCGGCTTCGCAGCGTCACCAGTGCTGATGCGGACCCAGTCGCCCCTAACCATGCGGCAGCCTCAGCCATCCTGATCTTATGAGAGCGCTAGCGGTTCTCGACGGAGTTGCGTTGCACTGCGGACGCGTCGATGAGCTTCTGCAAGTAGACCGAGTAGTTCGAGTCCCGAAAGACGGCGGGGGGGGTGGCTTGCTCCGCGGGCGGCGCGCGCGGCTCGATGCCAATCGTAAAAAAAATGACTGCGTGGTCGCTGAGGCGCTGGTCAGACAAGATGACCGCGTCGTGGAGGACGTGGACAGCGATGGAGAGCTCCTGCGTCGCGTGAGAGGGGAGACTGATGAAGACGCGATCGATCGAAGAGGCAGTGTAGTCAGCCCTGTTGAAGCGCGTGGGGAGCTCAGCCTCGACCTCGAGCACGGTGTCAAACAGGGTATTCCGGAAAGCGTGCTGCTGCCAGTTGCTGTTATCCAGGAGGAGGCGGGCGCGGGCAGCCTGCGGCTGGAGGACGCTGTTGGGCGGGCGGCTGGCCGCATTGAAGTCCCCCATCGCGATGAAGGCACGTTTGGTGTAGTCGACGGCTGCCCAGTCACGGTGATGGCGCCAGGCAGCGCGGACCCTGTCACGATCACGCGCGTCGAGCTCATGGTTGTGGGCGTTCATGATGACCGAGTGCTGGTCAGAGAGGGCGTTGCTGATGACGAGCTGCTGGCCGCGGCCTGGCACCAGAGGATCATGCCCGAATACTGGGTGCTGCCCAGGGCGAAGTTGGGCGAGCTGCGCGGGCGTGAACCATGGGACGAGAATCGCAACACCGCCCGCAGCACACTGCTGCGTGGATGGGTCAGCGCGGAACTCGGAGAAGGAGAGCTTGCACGGGCACGGCTGCGCGTCTAGCCAAGTGCGGAAGAGAGTCTCAGAGCCGTGGACCTCTTGCAGAAGGATCACCTGCTTGGCCCGCATGAGCTTGATAAGAGTGGCCTGATTGCGGCGGCGCCGTCGGCGGCGCGAGCACATGAAGGCGCGGGCGTTCCAGCTGACGCAGGTAGAGGACAGCGTCGTGTCCGAGCCGCGCCATGGGGCCCACGGGTGGCTAGCAACGCCACGTAGCGGACTCGATGTCGGCGAAGGGCGCCTGGAAGTCCGTGAGGATGACGCCGCGGTCGAGGCAATTGAAGGTCGGGTTTTCCAGCGCCCGCTCGTTCCATTCGAGAATGGCGGGGCCGGCTTGGCCTTTGATGTCGATGCGCACCAGCGGCACCGTATCGCAGTGAATCTCGCCCTTGGAGCGGATGGCACGCCAGCGTAGCTGCGGGTACTTCTGCGACAAGAGCAGGCGCAGCTTCTTGCACTGGATCTCCGCGCGGATCTGCTTCTGCGACTTGTCGGGGTTGACGTAGATGTCGGCGTGGATGCCGCTGGTGTCGACGGTGTGGAAGCGACGCCATCGGCCCGCGGCGCCCCGAAGAGCACGTTGAAGGGCGAGAGCACGTGGGATGGCCACCTCTTTGTTGCCCTTGACCTGGGGATGAAGCGACGCGCAGGCTCGTTTCCATGAAGATCGACATGGTCGTGTTGGAGTCCAGCAGCACGGATCCACTCCTGCAGGTCGTTGAAGACGGCATTGGGGGCAACGAACCGCTGGGGGCCCATAGCGAACAGGGCAGCCTCGGGCGATCTGTCCCACGCGGCAAGCTTGGAGGGATCGGCGATGGGAACCTGAGCCTCGGCGAGGGCGATCGCGTCGCGCAGCTTGTCGATCTGACTCCACATCCTGCGCTGATCCTCGGCTTGCTTGTCCCGCTCGCGCTTGGCGCGGGCCAGCTGGTCCTGGAGGCCGTCCACACGGCGTTCAGTCTGAAGAACTTGTTGTTGGGAAAGCTGGCGGAAGCTGTCGCGCGACCGTTCCAGTAGAATGTCGGCCTGCTGCTTGAAAGTGGCAGCGGGGTGGGAGATCTGCCGCTGCATGAGAGTCTGAAGAGCATTGTCCAGGTCGTCGGGAAGTCCAGGGAGTCGAACGGGAGCACCATCAACAGCAGGGTTGGCAGACGCTTGCGGTGTCCGTTGGTATTATCCTGGCTGGTCTGCTTGCGATGGGAAGGTGGGGAACATCTCCAGGTCGCGGCGCGCCACGCCCTGCGTGAAACGTTGATATCCGCCGTGGTGTTGTTGCTTTTGTCGGTGCCATGGATAAGCTTGCAGCAGAGGGTCGGCTGCTTGCGCAGGTGGACCCGATGAACCTGGGCGGGCAGATGACCGGCCAGGTCGCGCAGCTCGCTGTCGTGCTGCGCTAGAGGAGGCCATGATGGTAAGCGTTTCAGCGGCAGCGGCTGCACGGCGCCCACGACGGCGACGTTGTTGACTGCGGCTGGTGCTGCGCTCCTCGTCGGAAGAGGGGCCCGACATGATGTCGAAGAAGTCGCAGGGCGTGATGGGGCGCTGGGCTGAACCTTGCCAGTGGCCAGGACGCCCGACCCGCCCTGAAAACTGGCCTCGGGATACGACAGGGAGAAATGATCTATAAAGAGAAGGAATGGATGAGGAGGAGCAGGAGGAAAAGGGAAAGGAAGAGGACGAGGAGGAGGGGGAGGAGGACCAGTGTGAACCCAAGAGTCGCTAACGGTGTTGGAATAAACCCTCCCTCCAAGCTCCCTCTTCACAAGCACCTGCAATGGTTCATTACCACTGAGGGAACTGCCTCATTGGAAGACAACTTTTTGAAGATCTGGACGCAAGCCAAAACATTGATCTCGCAATTTCAACGCCACGGATCAACCTGACTGTTGCGTCTTGACGATCCTAAATCGTGCCAAGACGCCGTTCACGGGACTTCTATACCGCGAATCCGCGTAGCTGTTGCACCCACGTAATCCTGAACCCTTCCAAAACACCATTTCTGGTACGTTGATCATAGGGATCCGTGAGACTAACCCTGCGCTCCCGATAATTATCCTGTGGGGATGATATAGTTCGGGGGTCCGGCGGGGATAATCAACGATTTTCCCGGGGAAGGGGATGTTAAGATGATAATGACGATGACGATGACGATGACGATGACGATGACGATGACGATGACGATGATGATGATGATGATGATGACGATGACGATGATGATGATGATGATGATGATGATGATGATGCTGATGATGATGATGATGATGATGATGATGATGATGATGATGATGATGATGATGATGATGATGATGATGATGATGATGATGATGATGATGATGATGATGATGATGATGATGATGATGATGATGATGATGATGATCCTGGACGCTCGTGTAGACTGACCTTGTAGATCTTGGCACAATCAGGGTCAAAAAATGGTGAAGAAGTCTCCTTCGAAACGCCCGGCCAGCCTCAAAAACTGGCCTCGGGGTGCGGCAGGGAGAAATACTTATAAGGAAAAGGAATGGAGGGAGGAGGGGAAGGGGAACACGAGGAGGGTCTGCAGAGGGCTTGCAGGAGAGAGGACAAGGAAAAAGAAGCAGAGGGGGAGAGGGGAGGCGGACGGGTGGAAGGAAGAATGCGGGAGGGGGGAAGGGAAGAGGGAGGAGAGACGAAGGAAGAGGGCAGGGGAGGGGGAGGAGCAGCAGGAGGAAAACTGGGCAACGCGAAAGGGACGACAGCGGCGGCGGCAACGACTGGCGACAGCGAGCTCGTCGCCGCCCGGCTCGTCGGCGGACGCCGTGACCAAGAGCTCGTCGGAAGCCCGGAACACATCCTGCGGGAAGGGCGTACCGCCTCCGAAGAGAGAGTAGAGGGGGGAAAAGCGAAGAGGGGAGAGGGAGGAGGAGGAGGAGGAGGCGGAGGAGGACCTGTGCAAACCCAGAGCTCATCAACGATGTTGCAGAAACCCTCCTTCGAAAATCCCTCTTGGGAGGTCCCTGCATAGGGCCCTAAAAAGGTTGATTCTCAGTAGGGAAATGTCCCGTTGGAAGACAACCGGAAAAATCAGGAACCGTGCCTGAGCACCATTCCTGGAACTTCAACACCGTGAATCAACGGCACTGCTAGGTCCTGGCGATCCTGAATCGTGCCAGAAGACCACTCTTGGGACGTAAACACCGCGAAACAGCGCAACTGCTTCGCCCTGAGAGTCTTGTTCGTTCCAAAGCACCGTTCTTGGGACGTCACCTATAAGAGCGCTTGAAACTTACGTGAACTTTTGAAACGAATGCGCGCGGCGCCAAGGCGAAAAACAGATTCTGAAAAGGTAGCGCCTTCCATCCGTCACACATCTGCAAACGTTGAGGGCGAATGCGCACGGCGCAAAAGCGAGAATCAGAATCCCACCAGCCCTCTGGGCGCAGGTGGTCTAGAGCGTTCCTGTTTCCAACATCCTTCCTTTCCCTGCTCGAGAGGTTTACCTCCCCCCCCTCCCTGGGCCCTGGGTCCGGAAGGGGGGGGGGAACCGAGGGGTTAGAGCGTCCAGGGTGGCCCAAGATAGCTTCAAGAGGGCTTTCGATAGCCCAAGATGGCCTCCAAGATGGCCCAAGATACTTCGAGTTGGCTCAAGATAGCCTCCGACACGCATCCAAGAGACCCCAAGACGGCCCCAAGACGGCTTCAAGTGCCCTGGAGGGGCGGGGGGGGGGGCGCGCGCGCGGGCCGAGCGGCGCCGCTCAGGAGAGGAGCTCCTGCGTGCTGGCGAGCACGTGCAGCCATACCCACGCTCAAATTACTTGCGAAGTGCCCAGGCATTGGCCCGCGGAGAAGGGAGGAGGAGAAGCAAGCGGAGGAGGAGGAGGAGGAGGAGGAAAGGGAGGAGGAGGAGGAGGAGGAGGAGGAGGAGGAGGAGGAGGAGGAGAGGGACGACGACGAAAACAAGGACGACGACGGCGACGACGACGACGACGACGACGCTGACGGCGATGGCAACGATGACGACGACGACGACGACGACGACGACGACGACGACGACGACGACGACGACGGCGACGACGACGACGACGGCGATGGCAACGGCGACGGCAACGGTGACGACGGCGAAACAGGGGAGGAGGAGGAGGAGGAGGAGGACGACGACGACGGCGGCGGCGTCGACGGACGACGGCAACGACTACGGACGGCGGCAACGACGACGACGACGGCAACGACGACAACGACGACGACGAGGACGCGGTCCTGCAGCAGGTCGCCCTCCCACAGCCTGGCCGCGCTCGGCAGGTCGGCCGAGGCCCCAGCGAGCTCGGCGCCACAGCGCAGGCACAGCTGCTGGAGGTCCGCACGGTGCGTCCTCTCGAGGCCGTCGCCGTCGTCGGAGGCCGTCGCCGTCGTCGTCGTCGTCGTCGCCGTCGTGCTCCTTTACGTCGCCGTCTTCGTCGTCGCCGTCAACCTCTACGTCGTGGTCGTCGTCGTCGTCGTCGTCGTCATCGTCATCCGCCTCTACGTCGTCTTCGTCGTCATCGTTGTCGTCGCCGCCGCCGTCGCCGTCGTCATCGTCGTCCGCATCTAATGTCGTATTCGTCGTCGTCTTGGTCGTCGTCGTCGACATCGTCGTCGTAGTTGTCCTCCGCCTCTACGTTGTCATGTTCGTCGCCGTCGTCGAGGCTCGATGTTCGAGGTTCCACGATCGACGATTGAAGTTCTCAACCATCTCTGGGCCTCCAGGGACCTCCTCGGACCTCCGGATCGTGGTTTTATCATTCCCGTCGTCTGTCGTTTGTCGTCAGTCGTCGGTCGTCAGTCGTCTTCGACATCGCCGTCGATCGTCGGTCATCGTAGTGATCAACGCCGTCGAGCTCCACCTCCCGCCCCCTCCTCGCGAAAACCACGCGGACAGGGCCGCACTGGCCTCTTCCGCGACCCCTCTCTCGAAGCCCCCCTCTCTCGAAGCCCTGGCCCGCGCGCCTCGCCTCCACTGCCCAAGGCTCTGACGGCTCCCTGGCGCTCTCCAGGGAGTCGAAGACGACCAAGATGGCTTCCAAGATGGCCAGTCGGGCCACCAAGGCCGCCAAGATGGCCCAAGATGTCTCCAAGACGACCCACGATGGCCCCAAGACAGCCCAAGATGGCTTCATAACTACCCAAGAGGCTTTCAAGACCGCTACAAGAAAAGTCTCAGCCGAGCCCGAAGATGCCACAATCCTGGAAGTCCCCGTGGGTGTTCAAAGGTTTTCGCGTTCCCACCCTTTCAGATCTCCGCTGGCTCAAGATGGCCCAAGAGGTCTCCAAGATGGCCTCACGCCGACCCAAGACAGCCTCAACAGGGCCTAAGAGGCCTCCGAGACGGCCACAAGACGGCTCGTGAGCGCCATGGAAGGCCCAGGTCGAACCCAAGAGAGCCTCAAGGTTGCCCAAGAGGGCGTCCAGAGGGACCCAAGACGGCCTCAGATGACACCTGGACAGCGCAAGACGGCCTCACGACAGCCCCAAGAGACCCCCCAGACGGCAACGAGGGCCCCAAGAGGGGGCCCCGAGACGGCCCCAGAGGGCCCAGGGACCCCCAAGACCGCCCCACAGGAGCACAGGACAGCACCAAGACAGCCCAAACAGTGCTCCTGAGAGGCTCCTCGAGAAGTGAAAGCGAAAGGTGCAACATGTGACGGTTCTTCTCCGCCTCCTCCTCCTCCTCCTCCTCCTCCTCCTCCTCCTCCTCCTCCTCCTCATTCTCCTCTTCCTCCTCCTCCTCCTCCTCCTCCTCCTCCTCCTCCTCCTCCTCATCTTCCTCGTCCTCCGTGTCATGATATTCAGTATCATCATGCACACCGCCAACCTCGTCCGTGTCATCGTCCTCGATCTCACACTCACGATCATCCTCATCCTCATCCTCATCCTCATCCTAATCCCCATCCTCATCCTCATCCAAATCCTTATCATGATCCTCATCCTCATCCTCCTCCTCATCATCATTATCATTATCAGAATCATCGTCATCATCGTCATCCTCATCACCGTCATCATCGTCATCATCAGCATCATCATCAGCATCCGCATCAGCATCATCATCACCATCGTCATCATAATCAGCATCGGCATCAGCATTAGCATCATCATCAGCAGCATCAACAGCATCATCATCAACATAAGCATCATCATCAGCAGCAGCATCATCATCATCAGCAGCATAGTCATCATAATCGTCTTCATCATACTCATCATCAGCATCATCATCATCAGCAACAGCAGCATCGTTATCCTCACCATCATCCTCATCATCATCCTCGTCCATCTCCTCATCCTCATCCTCGTCCTCATCCGCATCCTCATCATAATCCTCATCATCATCCTCATGTTCATCCCCTTCCTCATCATCATCATCATCATCATCATCAGCAGCAGCATCATCATCATCATCATCATCATCATCATCATCATCATCATCATCATCATCATCAGCATCATCATCATCCTTATCATCAGCATCATCGTCATCAGCATCACCATCGTCAGCATCACCATCAGCTTCACCATCGCCAGCATCATCATAGCAATAGTCAGTATCATCATCATCAGCCGCAGCATCGTCATCATCAGCATAATCATCATACTCATAATCATCATCATCAGCAGCAGCAGTCTCATCATCATCAGCATCATCGTCATCATCATCACTACCATCATCATCATCATCATCATAATCATCATCATCATCATCATCATCATCATCATCATCATCAGAATCACCCTCATCATCAGAATCATCATCAGCATCACCAGCATCGTCATCATCGTCAGCATCATCATCATCAACAGCAGCATCATAGTCATCATCATCAGCAGCAGCATCAGCATCACCACCACCGCCATCACCATCATAGTAGCAATAATAATAAAGATGATGATAGTGCTACGAATGATAACAGTATGACTACTACTGATACGAGTCCGAACACTACCAATTATCATCATTAGAATCAGAATCATAATCCTGTTCATGATCAGAATCGTAACCACAATCAGAATCATCATTATCAGCAGCAGCAGCAGCATCATCAGCATCATTATCATCGTAATCAGCATCATCACCATCAGCCACATTAACATCAACATCAACATCATCACCAACAGCATCAGCATCAGCATCAGCATTATCATCATCAGCGTCATCAGCATCGTCATCATCATCAACAGCAGGATCATCAGCAGCAGCATCATTAACATCATCATCACCACCACCACAACCATCAGCATCATCATCATCAAAATCATCATCATCATCATCATCATCATCATCATCATCATCATCATCATCATCATCATCATCATCCTCATCCTCATCATCAACATCATCTTCATCATGCTCCTCATCCCCATCCTCATCCCCATCCCCTATCCTAAACCTCATCCTCATCCTCGTCCTCATCGTCATCAGAATCATAGTCGTCATCATCATCAGCAGCAGCAGCATCATCATCATGGTCGTCGTCGTCATCGTCATCGTCATCGCCATCGCCATCGTCATCGTCGTCGTCTTCGTCATCAACGTCACCATCATCATCATCATCATCATCACCACCATCGTCGTCATCCTGAGCATCGTCTTAAGGTCCCTCCCTCACTTCATCGTCCTACTCCGCTCTAGGAGTGAATCACGGCAACGCAGGATGGGCTAGAAACGGTGGAGGTGTCACATGTGACACCGGTCGGCATTCCCCAAGCGGTTGCTGCAGAGAGTCCTGGGACAGGCCAACAAATTCCGAAGTCCAGCGATGTGTCCCATGTGACGGCTTCCTGGGCTTGCTCCAACAGTCGCCGCAGTGAAAGCATCTATCGCCACTCGAGGTGTGACACATCAGGACATCCCGTCTCCCTCGCGCAGAGACCACCGAGAATGCTGTGCTGGCACGGTGGCGAAACAAGAGTGGGGAGTAGGAGGACGACAGGGAAGGGAAAGATAAAGAAGACTCCAACGTCTCCTTCTCTTCGTCGTTCTCTTGGTCCTCGCATCAATCATCATCACCATCATCATCCTCATCCTGATCCTCATCCTCATCCTCATCCTCCCTCTCCTCCTCACTTCTAATGTCTCTCCCTTTTCATGAGATTATCCCTCCTGACTTCTCCTCCTGCTCCTCATCCTCCTTATCCACCTCCATCATCCCCCCCCTCCTCCTCCTCCTCCTCCTCCTCCTCCTCCTCCTGCTCCTCATCCTCCTCCTCCTCCTCATCATCATCATCCTCCTCCTCTTCCTCCTCCTCCTCCTAGCTATTCCTCTTCACTCTCCGGCTGTTCCTGCTCATCGTCATCTCCCTCCCTCGTCCTCTCGACATCTATCTCCTCATCCTCCTCCGCCTCCTCCGCATCCTCTTCCGCCTCCTCCGCCTCCGCCGCCTCACCCGCGACGCTCCTCGCGCGCTCCTCGCGTAGCCCCGCGACGACCACGGCGACGGCGACGGCGACGGCGACGGCGACGACGACGACCTGAGGCCCACCGAAGGTGCTCCGCGGGAGCCCTCCGAGGCGCGGCCCGCAGGAGCCGCCGCAGAGCGCCCGGCGCCCCGGCTCTCCGGGGGCGGTCCCGGCCCTTCCCGCCCAGGAGGGCCCCCATCTGTCTATAGACCCTCCACTGTCCATAGGCCCTCCTCTGCCTAGAGGTCTGCCCTGCCCAGAGCCCCTCCCCTGCCCAGAGGCCCTCATCTGTCTAGAGGCCCTCCCCTGCCTTGAGGTCCTCCTCTGCCTGGAAGCCTCCTCTGCCTAGAGGTCCTCCTCTGCCTAGAGGCCCTCCTCTGCCTGGAGGCCCTCCCCTGCCCAGAGGCCCTCCTCCGCCCAGAGGCCCGCCTCCGCCCAGAGGTCCTCCCCTGCCCAAGAGGTCCGCCTATGCCTGGAGGCCCTCCTCCCCTCAGACCATGGCGCTGCAATTCTTTCACGGCGGGGACTTTCCCCGGGTTTCGAGCCCCGGGGCCCTCACAGATCGATCGGGCTCGAAAAAAAACGCAGGGAGGTAAGGTCGAGGGTGCCAGTCGCGATGCTTGGCGACGTTTCCATCTGTTCGCAGCGTCGGATCTCAGGGCCTGCCTGCGCGAGCTCCCTGTCGCCTGCAGGCGCCTCCCATGTCGCCCAGGGGCCCTCCTCTGAGTGCGGCTCCTCCTGCCCTGCCTCTGTTCCCTGCCTGCCTGCAGTGAAGGGCGAAAAGCCAAGGGGCTCCCAGCGCAGGTCCAGGGAACCCACGCGGAGCTCCGAAAGTTGAGGTGCTGCCGTCTTCTCTTTCTCGACCTGGGCCCTCCTCTGCCTGCAAGACCTCCCCCTTTCGCCTCCGTGCAGGCACCTCCTCGGCCTAAAGGAGGAGGAGGAGGAGGAGGAGGAGAAGGAGGACGAGGAGAAGGAGGAGGAGGACGAGGAGGAGGAGGAGGAGGAGGAGGAGGAGGAGGAGGGGGAAGGAGGAAGAGGAGGAGGTGCAGGAGGAGGAGCAGAAGGAGGATGAGGAGGAGGAGCAGGAGAAGGAGGAGGAGAGAGGAGGAGGAGGAGGAGGACGAGGCGGAGGAGGAGGAGGAGGGAAGAGGAGGATGAGGAGGAAGAGGAGGAGGAGGGGGAGGAGGGGAAGAGGAGGAGAGGAGGAGAGGAAGGGGGAAGGAGGAGGAGGAGGAGAAAGAGGAGGAGGAAGAGGAGAGGGGGAGGAAGGAAGAGGAGGATGAGGAGGAGGAGGAAGGAGGAGGAGGAGGAAGAGGAGGAGGAAGAGGAGGGGAGGGGAGGAGGAGGAGGCGGAGGAGGAGGAGGAGGAGGAGGAGAGGAGGAGGGAGGAGGGAGGGGGAAGAGGAGGAGGAGGAGGAGGAGGAGGAGGAGGAGGACGAAGAAGGAGGAGGACATCCCTGCCTACCGGCGCGCGCGCTCCCTAAGGGCAGCGCCTGGCTCTCTGCCGCACCATCTCCAGCAGCCCGCCGACGGTCAGCGCCGCGGGGTCGCTCTTGCCCCACAGGGGCACGACCAGCGCCTCCTGGCGACGGCGGCAGCCAGGGCTGGACTTAAACGTTGATGTTCGTTTTGTTGTCGTTTTGCTCTTCGTTTTGCTCTGCCTGTTTTCCCGTACCTCCCGCCCAAAAACGAAAAACAAAACACAGCCGAAGCACAGCAAGACAATGGTGAGGTCCAGCCCTGGCGGCAGCGAGGTGACCGAGGGCGGCTTCGCTCCCTCTCTCTCTCTCTCGCACCTCGCGGCGCGCGAGGCGCGAGCACCTTCGCGCACCTCGCGCCGCAGCCCACCCAAAAGCGGAGTCGAGGACGAGGAGGCCGAGGACGAGGAGTCGCGAGTCGCGAGTCGCGAACCACGAGCAACGTCGCGCCCTCGTGGCGGCCGGGTGAGGAGGGGAGCGGCAGCGGGGGTGCCTTAGCTCCGGGGGGTGGAAGCATCCGCCTGGAATCGGCGGCGCATCGCAAGACAGGTCGGCTCCAGGCCCGCGATGGCGAGACCGCGCGTTCCTGGGCGGGGTGGGCTACCAAGCCCCCCATCAGCGATGAACGGGCGTTCAGGGGTCGATGCATTCCCCCCTGAGCCTATCCCCCAGCTGTCCCTGAGGAGGAAGCAAGAGGAGAAGGAGAAGGAGGGGGAGGGGCGCCAGAGGACAGAAACGAAGGAGACAGGAGGGAGGTAATTAGACGGAAACGGAAATGAAAGCGGAACGCCGGAATCGTGCGCGCTCCTGTGGGGAGCTCGCCTGTGCCAGTCAGGGTATGGTGTGGAAGCCGTAGCCTCGAAAACGATTAGGCTCAGAGTTCGTTCGTGGTGTTGTCGTGGATGAGGGAGGTGGACTAGGGGGGAAGAAGAGGAGGGGGAGGAGGAGGAGGAGGAGGAGGAGGAGGAGGAAGGGGAGGTAGGAGGAGGAGGAGGAGGAGGAGGAGGATGCGGCGTCCGACGTCTCGATTTGTTGGAGTCACGCACGGGCCCACAACCTCTCCACCCATTCCCTGGGACTGGGTCATCCCGAGTCGTTCCTTGACGGTCCCGAGGCCCGCCAAGGGCCTCGAGAGGCCGAAGACGATGGAACACCTCCGTCTGGATTTTGTCGAGACGCCAACTGTCTGGGACGAGGGCGGCGGCGGCGGCGGCGGCGGTCACCGCCGCTGCCCAGCGGGCGCGGCTGTCAGGGCGGCCCCTGGGCCGCAGACCTCGCGCACCCTCTGCGGCCCCGCCGGCCGCGCGACGCAGGCCCCCGGCTGCGAGGCGGCGCCAGCGCGTCGAGGCGGCGACGGCGGCGAGGCGCCGGCGTCGGCGCGGCGAGGCGGCGAGGCGCCGCCGTGTTGCCGCAGCTAGTGGGCCAGAAGGCGGCCTCGGCCGCGGCGACGGCGGGCCGCGTGCGCGGCGAGGCGGGGCCCCGTTGCCCCACCCGGCAGGCGGCGGCGGCGGCGGCGGCGAGGCGGCGGCGGCGTCGCGCGCTGGGCGGCGAGCCGCCCGAGTCGGCGGCGGCGGCGCCGGCGGCGACGGCTGCGCTAATCGGCGCCGGCCCGCGACAGGCAGGTCACTCGCAGGGACTTCGGCAGCGGCGGCGCGCGCACGCGGGGCGGCGCGCCCGGGCGACCGGGGCGTGCAGGGAGGAGAGAAACATGGCTGGAGCCCCGGTAGGGGGGGAGCGGAGGAAGGGGGGGGGGAGGGGTATGGATGAGGGAGGGAGAGGGGAGGCGAGGAGAGAGTGGGAGAGGAGGAGCCGGAGGAGGGGGGGAGGGGGGGTGGGGGGGGGGGAGAATCGAGGCATCGAGGTTTTCGGGCGCCGTTGGCCCTCTTCGGGCCTCTAGGGGCAGATGTTGACATCCAGAGGCTGCGGGCGGCCTCGAGACTTCTCGAAGCCCCAAATCTGGATCAGATCGGGAGGCCTCTCGACTTGCGGCGACCGAGGGAGGGAGGAAAGGAAGAGGGAGGAATAGGAGGTGGTGGAGGAGGAGGAGGTCCCAAGTCCAGCATCCCCAACCGAACCCTGTAGGAACGGGAGGGGGCCCAATTAAGGAGAAAAGCGGGACGGCCACCTCCGACCGAGACCCCGCGGAGCTCAGACGTCGAGGGGCAGCCTCAGCGCCGCTGGCGCAGGCAGCCAGCGCGGGAACACGAAGGGCCGACGGCCAGGAACACATCGATCAAGCGGCCTGCAGGCCGCGGGACGCCTCGAGGACCATGCGGGCTACCTGGGCCACCTCGAGGTCCTCGGGGGAGAGCGCGGCACGCTGCGCCTCCACCGCGTCCGGGAGGGGCTCGAGCTCCGCAGTGGGCGAGGGGCCGCGCCGCGTCGACAGCGCCGCCCGCTGCAGCCCGAACCGCAACCACCACGGCTCCGTCACGTGCTCTGTCTCGCCCTCTGCGTGCCCGCCACCTGCGCCGACGGCGCCACCAGGACGGCCAGGCGCCGCAGCCTCCGCCACGCCGCGGCCACGGCAGATCGGAAGGGCGTCAGCCCACTCATCGTCCAGGTCCTCTGCGGCCCCCACCTTCTCGACAGTGGGCGCAGTCGCAGCAGCATCGGGTTGGGCAGGAGCGGGGGCAGGCCGCGCGCGGCGACGACGCCGCCGCCTCGACTTGAGGCCGTCCCCGTCATCCGCCGCCATCCCTGTGTCCACGACCTCCTCGCCGCAATCCAGTGGGGCCCCCTCGGCCGCCGCGCCCGCCGCCCCGCCGCGCCCGCGGCCACGGCGGCGCGGAGCAGCCCCTCCGCCGCGCGCAGCGGGCGGGTCCCCGACGGGGACCGCCCAGCCGCGAGGCCAGAGGCGGCGTGGGCCGCGAGGACAGCTCCGCGCGCGGCCTCGACGGCGCCGCGGAGCTCTGCACTCGGCTGCGTACCTGGCATCGGCGAGGCGGCGACGACCCGAGTGTGCCTGCGACATAACGCTTGAGCAAAATAGATACGGAGGAGGAAGAGGAGGAGGAAGAGGAGGAGGAGGAGGAGGAGGAGGAGGAGGGAGGAGGATGAGAAGGAGCAGGAGGAGGAGAAGGAGGAGGAGGAGGAGGAGGACGACGACGAGGAGGAGGAGGAGAAGGAGCAGGAGCAGGAGCAGCAGCAGGAGCAGGAGCAGGAGCAGGAAGAGCAAGATGGAGTCGGAGGAGAAAGGGTTAGCGGGAGGGGGAACGGGTGTGGCAGCCGACTCATACTCTTACTTGGATGCGGAGTCCCATCTTCCTATTTGAAGTCCTCCCACCTCCGACATCCTCCTCATTATCCTCCTCTTCCTCCT